GGAGCGGCCTGGCAGGAGGGGGGGAAACACCAACCTGGAGTCGGCGGTACATCGAGGATGGATCGGCGAGAGGCCCCCCAACAGCAAATCCGCAAGTTCCTGGGCGGGGTGGGGCTATCGGGCCCCTGTCGGCGATCAATTGGCAATTGGGGATCGATGCGTTCCCCGCATCGTTGCCCCTTCGGCTACACGCAAGAGTGGCCCTAATTGAGCAAGGACAGACCATCCCGGCGTTCCCATAGTCATGCCACGAAATGTTCTAAGAACCCCCAAATGTTTTAATAACAAGAACAATGTTCTTAGAACATAAACCCGATGTATTTAAACAAGGCAATCTAAAACAGACATGTTCTAAGAACATTTCGTGGAAACCACAAAAAGTTCTTAGAACATTGTTTGGTAGGGCTATAGGCGAGCCAGGACGCTTCGCCACTGCTTGACCTAAGGCAAGAGTAACCTTTGGTGCGCGACTGCCGGGGGCTTCGGGGAGGCTTCCCCGAGCGCGCAAGACGGTGCCTTCGCACCGCGCTCAGTCCTCCGGGGACCCCAGTGCGCCCGCACCAAAGGGCACTCGGGCGAAACGTCTAGGGGGGAAAAAAAAGCCATAAACATAAAACCTCGGAGGTCCGCGCGGATTTCTCGGATCGGCGCGGACCTCCGAGCTTTTATGCTTATGTCACTTGCTGCTCTCCTAAGGTCACCCTCACCTGCAGCCGACGCCTGACCCCCCCCCCGGCCTCTGGCGGCACCGTGTACTGCGCCACCGGCGACAGGCTGCCGCCCGCCGCGCACGGCAGCGGGCCAGCGGGGGGCACGCCGCTCGGGGCGCCCAGCCCTCGCCCCGCGGCTGGGCGGTGACGGCGGCAGAGCGCTCCGGACGCCCAGAGAGAGGCCCACGCCGTCGCGGCCAGCTGGCGGCGGCTGGCGGCGGCCGGCCAGCGGCGGTCGGCCAGCGGCCGGCCAGCAGCGGCGGCGGCCAGCCAGCGGCGGCCAGCCAGCGGCGGCTGCCAACGGCGGCGTCTGCCAGCGTCTGCCGGCACGGCCAGTAGCGGCCACCAGGGCGCGCAGCGACCCCTAGCGGTCGGTCGGTGCCCACGCTGTGTGACGGGCAGGGATCGACCCAACAGCTTTGTTTGTCTTAATCGGCGGTCCTTGGATCCAAGCTGCGGGCGTGGATGCGACGGGCTGTTGCGGTGGGAGCTGGACGCTGAGGCGGCAAGGAAGGCTGGGAGGGAGGGGACGAAAACGGCACACGAAATCACCAAAACACAATGTGGGTCCAGCCCTGGTGTTGGGTGTCGGGGTTGCCGTGGCAGGCCGCGCAAGGGGGGTCTCGACGATGAGGCTTGGGTCTCAGGGTTTTTGGGCGGCTTGTTGTTGCGGGGAGGGGCTCGGGCTAAAAACAGCACCCTGGGAAAGAATCCACGGCTGTGCCGCGATGCACGAGATGTATACTGTCATCAGGTCCTCTGCGATCTTGCCCCCAGCCCTCAGGATTGAAATGTGAAGCGGCCCAGACCCAAAATTCATCAATCTCCCGGGGCTCCCAGCGTGCGTCCCTGGTCACCGGCGCTTCTTGTCGTATGACTTTGTCGGGCCCAAGGAGGCGCCTCCAAACGGGCCAACAAGGCACCAATAGGCCCCCTGTAGACAGGTCAAGAGAGACCCACGTCGCCGAAACATCTGTACACGGCGCTCCAGATGGCGTCCAGACGGCAAGAGGCTTCCATTCCAAGAGCGCTTCCGAAAGTCTTTGGTGTTTCAAGTCTTTTACATTATTCTTGGGCGGTCTCGCCGTCTGTGCCAAAGAGGCTTCCGAAAGGCCGTCCAGTACACCCCGACAGACTGTCACAAGGAACCTCTGCCCCCTGGGGCTTGCCACAGGGGGGCGCGGCGTGCCAATATTCAGGTACTGTTGTGTGGAAAGAACAACGCATCAACACAAAATCCGGGACAACTCCCCGGACAACCTGGACAACCCCTCCGAGATGGAGACCTCAAGTGCCCCAGCATGGAAGTGTGGCCAACGCTTGAGCGCGAGCACCGTTCCCTACCAGGGATGTGGCTGGCGGTCTTGAGAGAGCACCTTCTTCAATAAGGGATGTGGCTGGCGCTCAGGCGAGAGCAACATCCAATGCTCGGGCGACAGCTCGCTTCCCAATCGAGAGTGTACTCACCGCTCAGGCGACAGCAACACTCCCGTTCAGGGATATGACCGGCGCTCCAACGACAGCACCATTCGGCACCTGCACCCCGATTCCGTGGGAGTCCTGCATCTGCTCATCCTTGGGTCAGGGCATCTTTGTGCACAGAGTTCCGAGGCTGTCTCATTCAAGACTGGCTGGACAACCTCGCGCGCAGCATCTCAAGACCATAGTTTCGAGGATGTCTCAGGCGAAAGTGGCTGGAAAACCTCAGGTCAGGACATGGCATCCCCGAGCTCAGAGTTGCGAGGATGTCGCAGAGGAAAGTGGCTGGACGCTGAGGAATGAGGAGAAAGCTGAAGGCTGAAGAATGAGGAGGCTCAAGAGAGGGCTTGGGTAGGATTGTGCCTGGACAACCCCTGGACAACCCAGTTGCTCGAGAATCCGACGTGCGGGGGAAAGGCCTTTTCCTTGTATTGGGGGTTGCCGGTGGCTCTCTTCTCTCGGACCGCCTGACATCAGGGCATCTCTGAAACCAATGCTGCGAGAACGGACATCGCAGGCGAAACTGGCAGGAACACCTCAGATCTGGGCATGCGTGAGCCCAGCGTTACGAGGATGTCTCTAGCGAAAGTGACAAGACAACCTCCTCATTTTCTGATCGCTGGTCCCGCGGCTGGAACTATCTTGTAGAACTGCAAGACTCCAGCGAGCCACGCGGCGTGGAGAACAACGATTCATGAGGATGTGCGAGCGGGAGCGGGTGGACGCGAGAGAGGAGGAACGAACAAGAGGGGAAGGAGGAGAGAGGCGCCCTTTCCAGCTGGGTTTGACTGGCTGTGCCATGCTTCTGATGATATGGATGATTAAGGCATGTGCGTGCGCTGGCAAACCAGCACGGCCAGGACAAACTCTTGGGCAACCCCGCGAAGAACCGGACCCCCCCCTGGACAACCCCCACCCGGACAACCCTCCCCGATTTTTCCCATCCAACATAGTATGTTGAAATCTTTTTGCAAAAAATCCCAGCAGCCCTTTCGCCGATCCAGCCTGCCACCCAGAAGCACCTGTAAACTTCCCAGTTCATCGGTCTTCCCGCTCAAGATGGCCCCGAGATGGCCTCCAAGGCACCTCATAAGAAATAGTAAACTTTCCAGATGATAGGCCTTCCCGCTCCAAGACGGCCAGGAGAAGGCCCAGAGATGGCCCAAGACGGCCCGAGAGGCCCCCATGAGGCCTCCGATAGCCTCCAGGAAAGCCCGAAGAGATCTTCCTTCCTCTCCTTCTACTTTCTCCCCCACGTGCTCCCCGAAGTTTCTCCACAACGGCAGGAGCAAACACACGGTACGGTGATACGATCGCTTGGCCGAGCTCTTTTCACAACGTTCGGCCACACAGGCGCTTCCAAAAGGCAGGGGGCCGCGGAGTTTCGCCGCAAGCGTCCTCGATAAGGCAGGATCGGAGGGACGAGGCTCCTGGCTTCTGGGTCTCTGTCCGGGCCGCCCGTCCAAGCTCTAGTCCGAGCACACCCTCTGGAAAAGTCGGACGCTCTTCCTCCTCCTTATCCTCCTCCTCCTCCTCCCTCCTCCTCCTCCTCCCTCCTCCTCCTCCTCCTCACTCCTCCTCCTCCTCGTCCTCCTCCTCGTCCTCCTCATCCTGCTCCTCCTCCTCCTCCACTCTTCCTCTCCTGCTTTCTCCCACCCCCTCCCCCTCCTCCTCCTCCTCCTCCTCACCTTCCTCCTCCTCTACTCCTCCTCCTCCTCCTCCTGCACCTCCCCTCCTCCCTCCTCCTCCTCCCATCCTCCCTCCTCCCTCCTCCCCGGTCCCTCCACCCATCCTGCGCTAAATGAGTTATTCTCGCGCTCTTCCCTCCTCCCTCCTCCCTCCTCCCTCCTCGCGCTCCTCCCTCCTCCCTCCTCCCAACTCCCTTCTCCCAACTCCCTCCTGCCTCCTCCCTCGTATTTTATCCCTCCTCCCTCCTCCCTCCTTCTCCTCGTCCGCTTACCCGCCTCCGATCCTGAGGGTGTTCGGCCGCTTTCTGTTTCCAGGGGCCCCCACGGTGACCCACGACAGTAAAGCTCAGGATGAAGGGCCGGTCCCCGAAGGGGTCGGGGCAACCTCATGAGGGCTCCCGTTGCGAGAAAACCTCGACGTCAGGGGTCTGGGGCATAGGTCTTCTCATACCTCGGGAAGCTTGGAGGCTCCGAAGTGGGGCCAGAGCACACTGGGGTCGGGGGGACCACGCCGCGCTACCGAGGCATCGGCGACGGCGGGATGGAGAAGAGCAGGCTCCAGCCCGATTTAGGAGGCCTGGACTCGATTCGCCGTCAACGCTCGAAAAGCCATTGGGCATTGTTTACCAATCCCTATTCTCACCGGCGTGGTCTGGGCCGCACTGGCCGATTTACCCCCCAACACGGGATATAGACTGTTCCCTTCGGGTTTCGAGGGGCATATCCCCAACTGAGGTGGTGGGGTAGTGGGGATCGGGATGGGGATAGAGATCGGTTAAACGATACAGGACTATCGCTCCCACCCTGTCACATAGGCGAGACTAGCACCAGCACGAGCCTAAATGCCGCCGGGAGTCTCCGCAGGGCAGGTCTCCTGTCTCCGCGGGTCTTCGAAAGCCTCCATGAGGCCAGGAAACATCAGAAGACGTCCACAAAGATTAATCCCCGATCCTCGTCTGGCAGACCGCAACTCCATGGCAAACGCCCAGACATCCAACGCATTCAACAAAATCAGCACGGAAGTGTCTCACCGTTTTCGGGCACCAAAGCCCTTGCTGGGCCCCTGGGCCGTTAAGAACTGCAACTGGAGAAGAGAAGCCTACCCTCAGGAAAGGGTCGGGGGGGGTGCCTGTTTTGACAACATCCAGATCTCGCATCTCTGTGAGCGCGCCAAGAGTCTCAGGGCAAGGCATGCGGCCAGCGCGGCTGTAAGGGCGCAGCGGAGACGCGATTACTGGGCACCCCAGCGGGCACTATGAGGCGGGCCATTCGGCGTCCACCGCCTCCTCCCAAATCACTCTTCCTACCTCCCTCGAGCTTCCCATTCGCTTCCTCCTCCTTCTCAGTCCTGGTCAGGACACGGTACCCTCCCCCCAAATCCTGGGGAAACCCTGCGAGATCCTGCTGGATGCTGTTTCGCGTGCGTCTCGCTTCTCCGGTTCATGCCTGACTGCGGCTTGCCTATTATCTGGGTTTGCATGTAGATTGCGTGTAGCTCGCCTCTTCTTGCTTTCGACTTGTATGTGCCCAGCCTCTAGCTTGCCAGGTTCGGCTAGCATTTCTACGATTCATTCCAAGATGACTTGCCACTGTTTTGCTTCAGCTCACGTTTCGGAACTATTGTTTGCATTGTGACTCGCAGATTGTGTTGACTTCAGCCTGTCTTCAGATCGCATATGTTGCTTCAGATGTGCACGTTTGTTGTGTAACATGCGATGTTCGGCGAGCTTCATTGTTGAGCTCAACCTGAAATTGCCTTGCAGAGGGACTCAGGTTGACGTGCAGCTCATGTTTGGCTTTGTCCCTGCATGTATTGTAGATTCTTTCCCGCTCGCTGATGTTCAGCAGGTGATTGGCAGGTATGATGAGTACAGCTCGAACATTGCTTTCGTGATAATCGTTTGAATGCGCATTTCATGGTCTTGAATTTGCATGTGTCTCGCCTTGGCATTAAACTGCGTTTTGTATTGAATTGCTGGCCATTCTTGTTTGTCAATGCGAAAGCACGTTCGTCTCCCCGCTTGCATTCGCCGTTCATGCAGCTTGCTGTTGATAGTCTTGCCTTCGGGTGTATTTGGCGATGCCACAGCCGCTTGTCCATGCTGGCTTGCCTCCAACTTCCCTCAGCGCCTCTCAACAAAGACAAACCTGCGAATGGAGATCGAGTGGGTCGTCCAACCTTGTGCGATCGCGGCTCGCTCATAGCGCAGGATCGTTCAATGTCGACTGATTCCAGGCCAGCGTGGGCGTTCAACCTTGAACGCCCGCGCTGGCTAGGGTCGTCGCCGTTTCGACACGACACGGACCCACCGTAAAACTCATGGGGTCGGCAGCCCCCCGTGGTCGTGGGGGCGAATGGCAGTCAGCGAGGTCACGTGCTCAATGGCTTCCGTTCGGCCTGGCCTAGCCCAGCCGACGCGTCCGAGCTCCTGGCGAGTGCGAGATGACAGCGGGCGGCGTCAGGGTGGCCCGGGTCGGTGGCGCCGCCTGGCAGAGGCGAGGCGGAGGTGGAGAGGGAGGACGAGGGCGAGTTGCATCCGCCACCGTGCCCCCTGGCACGTTGAAGCATGGTCGAATGCAGGGGGGATGGGGTTTCTGCAAGTCTTCTAGAGGACCCCCCCCCGCTCTAGCGCTCAGGGGCATGCATCCCAACCGCCCGTCTGCCGTAGGCAACTATGGGTCCGCGCTCCCGCGGCCACGATCTCTTGTGAAAAACGATGTCCTCGCCCACGGCCACGATCCCTCATGCAGAGCGATGGACCCGCGCTTACGAGGCCACGAACCCCCGTACAACAAGATGGGTCCGCGCTCCCGGGGCCACGATCGCTAGTTGAACAAAATGAACCCGCGCTCCCGAGGTCTCAAGACGGGGGCGGCAGGCAATCAAGGCCGCCAAGATGGCCCAAGATGCCTCCAAGATGGCAGAAGAGGGACCTAAACGGCCCCAGATGGGCTCAAGACAAAACAATAGGTCCCCGGGGTCCCCAACACGGCCCAAGAGGGCCTCAAGAGGACCCCCAGTAGGGCCCGAAGAAACTTATACGTAGCACCCCGCAGTTGCGGGTAAGAGTGAGGGGGCGGCAGGGATGTCGGCAGTCTGCGAGGCTTTGAAGCTATAAAACAAGCCCGCCGCAGGCGCCGATTTTTTGTTAAAACAATGTAGGTGGGTCGCGGGTTGGGTCGCAGGTGGGTCGCAGGTGGGTCGACGGTGGGTCGCGCGTAGATCGCGGGCCGGGTCGCGGGTGGGTCCCAGGTGGGTCGAGGGTGGGTCGCGGTTGGGTCGCGGGTGGGTCGCGAGCGGGTCGCGGGGTGGATCGCGGGTGGGTCGCGGTTGGGTCGCAAGGTGGGTCGCGATGTGGGTCGCGGGTGGGTCGCGGGCCGGACGACGACAACAACAACAAGCAACATCCTCACCACGGATCCGCATTTCAGCCACGCACACAAGGACAATGAATGACCGTTCGGCCCCCTCAATCTGATCTATGGGTGTTTGAAAGATTTGGGCCTCTTCATCTGTTCTGGCTTTCTTCACCTCCCGACGGCCCTGGATGCTTCCAACATGGATCCGAGAAGGCCCAAGAGGGCCCTCGAACGGCCCAATGATCCTCCAAGGTGGCCTCAAGACATCCCAACGAAAAGGCCACTAGACGGCCCAGGACGGCCTTAAGAGAGCCCCAAGCTGGCATAAGAGGGCCTCCAGAGGGACACACACACACAATCACACACGCAAACACACTCACACACAAACACACACACACACACACACAAAGGCCTTTTCCATAGAGAGCTCCATCGCTGGCCCAAGGCGGCCCCACGACGGACACAAGAGATCCCTCAGACGGCCAGAAGGTGCAAGGACGCCCCCAGAGAGCCCAAGACGGCCCAAGAGAGCCCAGAGACTGTTCAAAGTGGCACAAGGACCCCCCTATGACGGCCCGCAGGAACCTAAGAAAGGGCGGAAGAAAGGAAGGAAGACGACGAAGACGAGAAGAGAACCCCGACACTACGCGGTCGAGTGTGTCACGTGCTACGGCTCCCCCAAGTCTCCAGACACAAGGTGTCACACGCTACGGACTGTGCGCCCCCCGAACAGTTGCCACCGAAGTTGCTGGACTGGCACGGTGGCGGGACTTACCGCAGGCAGCTGGATATCACAAGAGTCAACACAGCATGTTCTTCTCTCAATGAGGGAGACGACCAAGACCGAGTTGGAATCTGCACCCACTGGTCGAACACGCACGGTGCGCTTCTTGCAAGACGCCGGCTGTGCCTGCCGCCCACAGGGCGCGAACAGTCGGCAAATGTGACAGTGTCATTATCCACCGGCATTGGGAGCCCCAGGAGTGGCACAGGCGTCACCGATGCACCGGCGTTGCCGGTGCCATCTGCGGGCCCCCACCTCCTCCATCTCCGCTCTGGATGCCGGAAGATGGCGACGAGGAGCTCGAGGAGGAAAGAGGAAAGAGCGATCGATAGGAGCCCTGTTCCCCGATCCGCCACGCTGTGCGTGGTGGCGCCGAGCGCAATGCTCTGCGCCGGCGCCTGCAGCAGCGCCGGGCCAAAGGGCGCCTGCCCGGCCCCCGCCGCTCGCACGCGCGCGCGAAGCGGGGCGCGCCCCTCGGCGCCCCCGCCCACGGCGCCACGGGCTGCTCTCTTGGCTCTCGGAGGCCCGCCGCTCTTGGGGGGGCCCTGGAGGGCCGCTTTGGGGCCCTTGGGGGGGCGTCAGGGGGGGCGGCCCAGGACCCAGAGCTAGCTGTCTTCCTGGCTCCACGCGGGGCCTCCGACGTCCAGGCCCTTCCCTGAGGGCCGAGGTGCTGCAACCCCGAGCAGCTGCTGGACGGCCTGGGGGTCAGCGCCCCTCAAACGGGGACTCCACTAACGGGTACCTTGGCCAGTGACCCAGCGAACCCAACCCTTCCCGATGCGGGCAACGCTGCATTGCCAGAAAGAGGCCCCAAAGCGGCAACTTGCAGCAAAATCGCAAAGTACCCGTTAGTGAGTACCCGTTGCGGTGCCGTTGAGGGGGGACCCGGCGATGGCGCCCGGAGGCCGACCACGGCGAGACACCTACGGCCTGACCTGTTCCACACCGCGGACGGACGTCCAGGGCGAGGGCCCCCGAAGGGGCCCAGGGACACACAGTGAGATGGACACCAATGCCAGCATCCCCCACTACATTTCTGGATGCTCGGGGTGCTCAGCTTCCCGCGCCCTTCGCAGATTTCCCTGGGCATCGACGCTTGTTGGTGTCTGCGGCGCTTCCCTCCAGAGCCCCCCGAGGGGGCACGGGCACGAGCGGCCCGCCGGGCGGCTCGAAGAGTCCGAGCCCCCGCTGCCTGGCGGCTGGCTCGCCCAGCGCTCGCCCGCGCGCACGCGCGCGCGAGGCGATGCGCACCTGTGGGCAGGCCGAGAACGCTGAGAACCCCCGGCGCTCCCCCTGCTCCTCCTCCGCCCTCCCCCATAAACCTCACCCCTCCTCCGCCCTCCCTCCCTCCCTCACCGCTCCTTCCCCCTCTTCCTCCCCACCCTCCTCCATCGTTACGGGCCTCACGAGGCCTCCAGAGGTCCCGTGAGGTCCCCCTGGAAGTCCCCAGGGAGCCCAGAGGTCCCCAGATGCCCCCCCCGGCGCCGCGATCGTAACAAAAAACAGCCCTCGGCTCGTCCCCCCCCCAGGACATCAGACGATGTGCGTGTGCATGTGCGTGTGCGTGTGCGTGTGCGTGTGCGTGTGCGTGTGCGGGTGCGTGTGCGTGTGCGTGTGCGCTTGCGTGTGTGTGTGTGTGTGTGTGTGTGTGTGTTGTGTGGTGTGTGTGTGTGTGTGTGTGTTGTGTGTTGTGTGTGTGTGTGTGTGTGTGTGTGTGTGTGAGTGTGGTGTGTGTGTGTGCGTGTGCGTGTGCGTGTGCGTGTGCGCGTGGTGTTGTGTGGTGTGTGTGTGTTGCGCGTCGCGTGCGCGTTGCGCGTGCGCGTGTGCGTGTGCGTGTGCGTGTGCGTGTGCGTGTGCGTGTGCGTGTGCGTGTGGTGTGTGTGTGTGTGTGTGTGTGCGTGGTGCGTGCGTGTGCGTGTGCGTGTGCGTGTGTGGCGTGTGCGTGTTGTGTTGCGTGTGCGTGTGCGTGCGTGCGCGTGTGTGTGCGTGTGCGTGTGCGTGCGTGTGCGCGTGCGTGTTGTGCGTGTGCGTGGGCGTGTGCCGTGTGCGTGTGCGTGTGCGTGTGCGTGTGCGTGCGCGTGTGCGTGTGCGTGTGTGTGTGTGTGTGTGCAGGTGCAGGTGCAGGTGCAGATGCATGTGCATGTGCATGTGCGTGTGTGTGTGCGTATATGTGTACGTGTGTATGTGTGCGTGCGTGCGTGGGTGTGGGTGTGGGTGTGGGTGTGGGTGTGGGTGGTGTGGGTGTGGGTGTGGGTGTGGGTGTGGGTGTGTGTGTGTGTGTGCGTGTGCGTGCGTGCGTGCGTGCGTGCGCGCGTGCGTGCGCGCGTGCGTGCGTGCGCGTGTGTGTGTGTGTTTATGTGCGTTTGTGCCTGTGTATGCGTGTGTGTGTGTGTGTGTGACTATGTGTGCGTGCGTGCGTGCGTGCGTGCGTGCGTGCGTGCGTGCGTGCGTGCGTGTTTTCCACCCGCGGTCCCGTCGGTCGCGACCACTCCCCCAGGGCCGCCCTTCGTGGCCCTCGGGGGCCCACGCCGCTCGTGTGAGCGCGGTGCGCGGAGCGCGGCGCCCCGCTGGGCTGGCGAGGGTCCCCCGCTGGCCTGCCTGCCCCGATACGATACGCGACACCCACGCCGTAGCATGTAAGCACACGGAGCGCAACACAGATACGGCAGGTTCGCGCAGGTCTGGCGCGCTACAAGCGCCCAAGCGTGGGGCAACGCGTGCGCGACACCTTTTGAACCAGGCACGTGCATGCGTGCTTCAGCATGTGCGCAATATCACGACAGCAGCTGAGCCCCCTGGCTTCACGCACCCCCGAAGCATTGATTTCTTCAACCCCGAACGCTCATCCGTCAGATTCGGCCTCTGGATGGCGTGCCGCTCTCGGGCCACAGGCGCCCTCAGAATTGGGCCCAGGGCGAGAAACGGCGGCGCGCTCGGAGGAGGGGGGGGGGCCCCGGGAAGCGAGCAAGGGCGGGCCTTCTGAAAAGTCTCCCAAGCCTTCCCCGACGACGCAGGAGACCTCTCAGCAGGCCTGAGGGCTTCTGAGAAGCACCGCCGCCTTCTGAGAGGGCCCTCTCCTTCTCACTCCCCCCGCCCCCCCTCGCTCGCCGCCGGGAGAAAGCCCCCCCCCCCCCTCCCCTACAGCCCCCGGGGAAGTCGTCGAGACCGCTGGGGCCGCTGGAGGTCTGGGCTCCCAGGCCGCCTCCCGTCCCGTGTGGCGAGATGTCTCGACGCTGAACCATCGGGGGCCACAGGCGACGCACGCACCGGCCTCGCTTCCTCTTCCTCCCCCCTCGTAAGACGTCGTAAGGCGAAGTCAGGACGAGGACAGATTCGGGTGGGGATATATCGCGAATCTCTGAGATACGGCGGTTCTGGAAGATGTATCGGGCGCCACGGCCTTCTTAGAGCGTTCCGGAACGCTTTGAGAGCGCTCGAGAACGCTCTGTAACGGACTTATCATCGTCTTAGCCTCGTCCGACCTTCGTTACAAGATGGTACAATGGGAGCCCGTCCAAAAGAAACCTTCCACGAGAAACCCAATCCTGAGACCCCAGGACGTCCATCGATTTTTGGCGCGGGAACGTCACGCTTTCCATGGCGAAACCGTCGCAGCCCAAGAACCCCAGGGGACCCTGGAGGCAAGAAGGGTGGTTTTTTGGCATGGGTCTCACATGTAGAAGAGGCCCTCGAGACGGCCCCCAAAAAAGTCCCAACACGGCCCAAGGGAGATCCCCAAACGACCCAGCGGCGCCCCAAGGCAGGCCCACGACGGCTCTTCGAGGTGCTTCTTCGGCGGCACCGAGCGCACGCCACTGGGCAGGCAGCATCGCCGTGCCGGGCAGAACTGATCCGATGAGGCTGGACGTCGCGGCGCCCTTCTCGTCCCTGCTGCTCCTCGGACCTCCCTCGTCCTCCGTCCCTCGCCCTTCTCCTCCCTCCTCATTCCATCCTCACGCCCACCTCCCAGCCTCCTCTCACCCCCTTCCCTCCCCCCTCCTCCACAAACCCCTGTCCGACGTTGTGATTTGTGTCGCTTCTGTGGGGCTCCAGAGATCTCGACCGCCTCCCAGGGATCAGCTGTCTACCTCGAGCAGTTCCCTGACGGCCCCAGGGCGGCCAACGGCCCAGAACGCTCCACGGTGAATCTTTCGCGATGCGAGGAAGTGCGACGTGCTTCGACCCGAGCTTCGAGGGGAGTCCGGCCGTGGCGACAAGAGTCCGGCCTGGAGGCCAACAACGATCACATATGCCCCGCAACTGCAGGTATCAGCGTGACGGGACGCAAAGCGGTGACGACCACCCCGCACCGCGAAGCCTCGCTGCTCCCGCGCACCCAGGGGCGGTATGCGGCCGTCCTCACCCTGGCAGCAGCAGCTTCCAGGAATCCCAGGATAACGGTGGACATGGCGACCCCAAACTGGCCATCGCTCGGACGTCCATTCCCTCTGTTTTTTGTCGGTTTCGTGCGTGGCTTTTTCGCCAAATGATGAAGGATGCTCCTCGATGGTCCTCGCCGAAGGAAATATGCACACGTCAGAGTGCTGCCAAGCAGATCCCCGCCCTTGGGGCGACTTCCTCTGGACCAGACATGTTGGACCCAACCCTGGGACGGGGGGGGGCGTCCATCCTCGATCGGGGTGCTTCCGGACAACAGCCCCCTGGGGGTGTACCTCGGCGGTGGACAAACCTCCCTTTAGTAGACCTCTCCTTAGTGAAAACGGCCTGGGACCGAAACCGACGGACCTGGACCCGCAAAACGACGGACGCGACGTCCTCTCGCAAACCGGAAACGGCCAATTCCTCAATCGACGTGTCAGGGTAGGAGGTCTGTCCACCCCCGAGTACCCCGGAGATCCGGGAGAAAACTCGCCTGCGACAGGCACCTCGGCCCTCGAGCCATGAGCGCCGCGCGCCCCTCGCCCGCCCCGTCCAGTGGCGGCGGCGCAGCCCCGCCGACGAAGGACGCCGAGGGCCGCAGCCCGCAGGCTCCGGGCGCCGGCGCCGGGGCGCCGACGAGGGGCGCCGAGGCCGTGGCGGTCCCGCCGGGTCTGGTGCCGCGGCGCCGTCCGCCGGGGGGGCCCGGAGGTGTGCGTCGGAGGTTCCCCGCCCCCTCCCTCCCTCCCCCTCGCGGAGCCCCCCCCCTCCCTCCCGCCCTGTCCCCCCTTCTTCCTTCGGGGCACGGACGTGTGCCCCCCCCTCACCGCCCCTCCTCCTCCGTGCCACGGGGCTTCCTCTCCGCGCTGGCGAGGTGCTCGTCTTGAGGCTCCAAAGCCCACCTCCTGTCGCTCGAGGTGGGGTCATGCCGGGCGATTCTGTGGGTCTCCCAGGGATCTCCCAGCCCGCGGGGTGCTTTCCAGCAGCTGCGCCTGGCCGAGAGCGGCGTGGGGGTGCCCAGACTGTCCCGAGCGACCGCCGGAGGCCAATGATTTTGGCCCGAGAGGCACCGACCCTGCCAGACTTCCAGCGAAGAGAACACATCTACCAGCGTTGACCCCTAAAAGGATACGGGAGAATGAGCTGGGGACCGTACCAAGAGTCCAAGGACTGGACTGGACTGGACTACACCGGGTTGGCCTAGGTATACTGGGCTGGACTGGCCTGGGACTTGATCGAACTGAACTGAACTGGACTGTATGAACCTGGACTGGGCAAGTCTTAATTGGATTGACCTGGACTGGACTAAACTGGATTGGAGTGGCCTGAACTCGGTTGGTCTTGACTGGACTGGACTGGATAGGCCTGGACTGCGCTGGATTGATAAGGGATTGGTTGGACTTGGGTGGACTGGATTGGACTGAACTGGGTTGGCCTTGGCTTCACTGGACTGGGTTGGCATGGCATGGACTGAGCTGGACTGGACTGAACTGGATTGGCCTTCACTGGACTGGACTGGCCTTGAAAAAACTAGAGCAGAGTGTTCAATGAATTTCGGAATAACGCCTTTTCGCTCTTAAGAGCAACCAACATTGCCAACGAGGCTGCAATTACCCGCCAACGAGGGCCTTGATAGGCCCCATGACGGCCCAAGAGGATCACAACACGACATCAGAGAGCCCCACGACGGCCCAGAGAGGTCAGCAAGACTCCTACAAGGCGGATTTCGAATGCGCCAGACGGCCCAAGAGCGCCACCAGGCTACCGCAAAAGGCCAAAGATGGGCCTAGGAGGGAGGGCCGAACCGCAAGACAAGAACCTCAAGATGGGCCCTGAGACGATCCCTCGCCAGTATCCCCCAAAGTGGCTTCTCCAACAGCTGGGAGCACACGAAAAGTCCACAAGCATGGCCGCACGCTCGCTCGACATTTCAGCCAACAGGCCTTTCCGAAGGCATTGAGTGGTGCTGATTCGCCATATGCTGACTCGCAACATTCTTCGATAGAACCCCTCAGTGCGAGCACTGGCCGGGCAGGCACACAAACAATAAGCACTCAGATGAGCATGCGTAACTTTTGGATGCGTATGTCCTAGCAGTTCTCATCCTCGCAAGCATTTGTTGGAAAGATGTCTGGCAACCTGCCAGACGCGTGTCCAACGGGACTAGACTAGATGTGGACGGATGATCGCACCGCCCCCGCCGCTGGGAAAGATCTAGAGAGGACGATCAAGGTCTATTGAAGGCGACGACGACGCCCACGAGCATGCCTGGAATCAAATTTCACAAGCAGTGCTTGCGATTAGGGGTTCTTACTCGTGTTCTTAGGTAACTGGGCCCCGGTGCCCGTCCGGCCGTCTCGTCGCTGCCCGTCGCAGCCGTCCGCTGCCGCCACCTGCACTCGTCCACTGCCGTCCGTTGCCGCCGCAGCCGTTCCTTGCCGCCGTTCGCTCGCATGGCACAGCCCAGCACAGCACGGCTTACAGCAGCATCGCACGGCTCAGCTCAGCGTCGACTAGATTAGCATGGCATGGCACATAATGCGATAGCGTCTCATAGAGCGGTGCAGCCAACGTGGTGCGACTTCATACTGTACCGCATGGATTACATTGCGGAAATCGCCACGCATTGATCGGCGGTGTCTGGCTTGCCCTGTAGAAAAAGACACTGCTTAGACTGCATCGCACAGATCACATCGCAGATCGGTTGGCACACAATTTGGGGTAGACGCTGGCTAACACTTACAATTTTTTAGCTCATCGCCCAGGGCGCTGCTGCATGACGGAGTCCTGGCTTTTGCTCCAGCGATGCATCGGCCACGTCGGGCTGGAGCACACTAGGACCACATGTCGCCGCGCACCGCCGATGCACCGGCGATGCGGCCATGCGGATGCGGACCGATACTCCGACCCCGCCTGCTCTGGCCTTATGAAAGCCGGGGCTTTTTACTTTGTTTTTGGTATCGTCGCCCGTGTCATGGAGAGACAAATTCGATTGAATCGCTTAGTGAAGAATGGAATTCTCTTAGCGGGCAGTGCATAGGTTCTATAATCACAGGAGATATGAATGTTCATCACAAACACGGGTTGCGATTCAGCAGGACAACAGAATCCAGATACCGCTACGCTCCCCGCTTCCCTCCCGGCGTGCGGCCTGACTGAGACTTTTTGCAGACAGTCCCGCCGTGGCGACGAAGACCTCCCAGGAGGCCCAGCCAAAGCCGATAGCGGTATCGGTGTACCTCCTCCTCCTCCTCCTCCCCCTCCTCCCCCCCCTCCTCCTCCTCCTCCTCCTCCTCCTCCTCCTCCTCCTCCTCCTCCTCCTCCTCGTACCTCCCGGAGGCCCGGACCTCCGAAGGGCGGGACCGCCACGCCGCTGAAAGGTGCGGCCTGACAGCCGGCCAGTCCGGCCATGCCGGTCCGGCCAGGCCGCCGCTGGGCAGAGGCGCCGGCTGCGGCGCTGGGGCGCGGGCGTCGGGAGGCGAGGGCGGGCGCCCGATGGGAGGGGCGAGGGCCAAGCTAGGTGCGCTCGCGTCAAATCTGACATCCTACCCCTCCCTCCCATCCCTTACCATGGCGTAGATCCCCTCTCAACTCGCACAGTCGGATGTCGAGCAGGGCAATGATCCCGAAAGGGTACGCGATGCATTGTAGAGCACGGCATGGCATGGCGTAGAAGAGCACCGCAAAGCGTAGTATGTCACAGCATGGCGTGACGTAGAGGCGCCTAAGGGGGGGGAGAGGGCGGAGGCGGGGCGACCAGTGGCGGAGAGGCGATAAGGGGTCGCGGCAGTGCCACTGGGGACGGAGGGGAGGCGAGGGGGGGGGCAGGCAAGCTGGGCGCGCTCGCGCCACATCCGACACCGTACCCGCGGCACACATCCCCTCCCATTGCGTTGGGTCCGGGTCTATCCGCCAACTGCAGGACCTTCATGCCAACCTGGCACTTGCATGATTTGGCCCATCGTTTCCTGCGCAATCGGATAGGGCTGTTCTCTGCACATGGGAGGAGAAACAGGAGGCGGATGAGCAGGAGAGGAGGACCAGGAAAGAGGAGGAGGAGGAGGAGGAGGAGGAGGAGGACCGTCGCATGGTTGATGAAAGTAAATCATCTGTCGACAACTTAAATGCTATGCTACCCTCCATTCCCCCGCAACTCGGCCTGGGGTGGGCGGGTCCTCAGCCTACGCAGCCTCCTCCGCCATCTTCAGCTGGATGAAGGTGGAGAGTGGCACGGCGTGGTCATACAAAATCGGGGACCTTCGGAGACCTTCGGAGTGCCTCCCGATGATGATGAGGTTCCACTGGGTTTTTTTTTCCAGGTCGGCGAGAGAGTCCTGGGCATTCTCTGGTGAGGCTCCTGGGAATAAACTCTGAGAAATGACCGCACATTTTGAAGACGATGGTACACGATGAGCCCAAGAGTGGCTCAGAAAATGCAGAAATAGTGGCCTTGAGGGGAGAAGGCCAGAGTTTCAAAGCGAGGTTCAAACCCTACACGGCTGTCTGAGCGGCGAGTCGCTGCCCGCTGTCAGCGGTCAATGCATGTGCACCTCGTGCCTGCTAACTTCCATCTATGCTCCTGCTTCTGGTGTCGGGGAGCCTTGGGCGGGGGCGAAGGAGGAGGCTTGGAGGAGGTGGGGCTATACCTACTTTGCCCGTAAGGGCCGCCACGACTTCGCCGAAACTGTTGGTCTTGACGACAGCCCATCCAGGAAGTGGCTTCACTTGCACGCACTTGACTTGCACGCACTTGCTCGCGCGCACCTGACTCACACGCACTTGACTCGCACGCAGTTGCGCTCGCACGGCGCTGCACTCGCACGCACTGCACTCGCACGCTCTGAGCTCGCAGGCTCTGAACTCGCACGTGCTCAACTCGCACACTGGATGCGAGTTTCACGTTTAGGGTACTTCTGTAGTGCGAGTTCAGTGCGTGCAAGTGCAGCTGCTGTCAATTTGGTTTGTGCCGGCGCATCTGCTCCGAGTTCAGGCTCGTGCGAGCTCAGCTTCTTGCCAATTCAGCGGGGTCCGAGTGCAGCGCTTCCGAGTTTCAGCTTAGTGTGAGTACAGTCGATGCGAGTTCAGCTGCTTGGAGCTGGGACGTCTTACGTTCTCCCGTGGGGTAGATTATGGGTTTCTACGTGGAATGCCATGTGTGCTTGTTTCTGTTAGGTTTCCCAAGCGCTACGTGGCATCAGTGGCTGATTGTTTCTCAAACCCGATTGGCGGTATGTTCATGCGCTTCCCGCTTGCATGCCCGAACTCCACTTACACATCTCGTGGCCCTATCGGGAGCACCAGCGGAGGTTCTTCTGGCCGTGGCCGTGTGCATATCAGTTGTTGTTGGTTTTCGAGGCACGTCTCATTCGTGTCGTGCCCTCATCGGGGGTCTCCAGAAGGCGCAAGTGGGGATGATCGCAAAATTCCCACCGCTCATCTCCCCAGAACCATATTCCAAATCGCCAGTAGAGCGCCAGTAGGGTCTCTCCATGCGTCTCCACGCGTCTTTTCCGGGTCAGCCCTAATACGTTTTGAAATGCACTCGGGAGTCCACCGACGTCTTCAATGGCGGTGCTCGCATGCGCCCTCCCTAGACATGTCGGAACACCCCATCACACGCTTCCGGGTTTCTTGGCAGCTCCACCAAATGCTTCACTGGCGGTGTTTGCATGCACCCACCCGGCCCACTTGGGCACACTTCTCACACGCCTCCTGGCTCCACAAGGACATCGACGTTCGGGTTCCGTGGCGGCATTCGCATGTCGGCGGGTCCGCGCCCGTCTCGGATGCGGAGAAACGCGGAGGAGGACAATGAGGGAAGGAGGGAGGGATGAGCATGGAGGAGGGATGAGAAAAGTGAAGAGGAGGAGGAGGAGAAAGAGGAGGAGGAGGAGACGGAGGAGGAGGAAAAAGAGGAGGAACAAGTGGAGGAGGAGGAGAAGGATGAGGAGGTCCTGTAGTTCACCCCCGAAGTCGCGAAGATCTTCGCTCTTCGATTCGTCGCGCGTCCCACACTCTCTCGTTCCAGGCTTGCCCCGTGTTGTCCCCCTCTTCCCTTCGGCCTGCTTTCTCGCCAAGGGGTGGGTGCAGCGCGTGCGAGTGTGGCGTATGCGAGTGCAGCGCGTGCGAGTACAGCGTGCGGCGTGCGAGCTCAGCCGTGCGAGGCAAGCGTGTGCGAGTGCAGCCGCGTGCGAGTGCAACGTGTGCGAGTGCAGCGCGTGTTGGTTCAGCCGGGACAGCTGAGGTTGCGCGAAAAAGGCCCCGAAGCTGAACTCGCACGAACGAGCAGCGCAATCAGCAACACCAGCAGCAGCAGCACCAGCAGCAGCAGCAACAGCAGCAGCTCCAGCAGCAGCAGCACCACCACCAGGACCAGCAGCAGCACCAGCAGCAACAAACAGCCAGCTCCAGCAGCAACACGAGGAACCCCAGCATCAGCAGCACCAGCAGCAACATCAGCAACGCCATCAACAGCACCAGCAGCACCACCAGCAACTGCACCAGCAGTACCAGCAGCAGAGCCAGCAGGACTGGACCAGCAGAAACACCAAGATCAACAGCACGAACAACAGCACCACCAACAGCATAGCCAACAGTTCGAACACCAGCAACAGCACCTGGAACCCCAGCAACAGCAACACCGACAACAATACCAACAGCAGCTGCAGCAGCAGCAGCACCAGCACCAGCTACATGTAGCAGCAGTGCAAGCAGCAGAGGAAAATAGCAGGAGCATCGTCAGACAGAGCACACGTAACAGCACCAGGAGCAGCACCACCAGCAGCAGCGGCAGCAACAGCAGCAGCACCACAACCAGCACCATCGATGCCAGCAGCCCCAAGCAGCAATAACACCACCACTAGAAGCACCAGCCCCAGGACCAGGAGTGCCAGCGACTCACATACCCAAAGATCTCCGATTGCACCCTTTCTTGCCCACGTTGCTTCACAAGGGATGCCTGCTCTACCCCTATACCGCCAGGTCTCAAACGCATCGTTTCTGGATGGGCTTGTGCGGAAACGCGAAGCGCCAATAATAGCCACATATACTTTCTGATCGAAGCTCCAAAGCAGCTGGAAGTGCACTCGCACGAGCTACACTCGCACGGACTTAACTCGCACGCCAGCGGCAGCGCCAGGGCGCGCCGGTTCGAAACAGCGTGTGCGTGCGACTCCAGCACGTGCGACTTCAACCCGTGCGAGTGCATCTCCGTGCGAGTTCAGCTCCGTTCGAGTCCAGCTCCGCGCGAGCCCACCTCCGTCAGAGTGAAACTCAGTGCGAATGCATCGCGTGCAAGTGCAGCCCCTTGCGAGTTAATGAAGTGCGTGCGAATTCAGCTTCGGGCGAGCACAGCCACTGTCCCAACCGTCAAGTGTCCTTCCGCACCCGGCTTGAGGCGAGACCCATAAGTGTGATCTTTGCCCTCGAAGCCGGTATCAGGGGTGGCAGAAAGGCCCAGGCACTAGAAACTGTCGGACCCCAGGCCGGGCCCCATCTGGAGCTCCTATCTCGAATGCGGGGTCACAATGGGACTCAGCCGACGAAGGAAAACACATTTCCCCGGACAGAGCGTCTGCCTCGTCGGCCATGCATGAAAATTATCCCGGCAAAGCAACCTAACAGCGATATGTAGAAGCATATCTGAAAGCATTCCCCTTAAGATTCAAATGAAAATCCAGTTGTAGAATTCTGCTGTTCTCGCAGTCGTAGTCGCATTCGCGATGACAGTCGCAGCGGCAACGGCAGTCGCAGTCACAGCCTCAGCCTCAGCAGCCTCAGCCTCAGCCTGCCTCAGCCTCAGCCTGCCTCAGCCTCAGCCTCAGCCTGCTTCAGCCTCAGCCTCAGTCTGCCTTCAGCCTCGGCCTCAGCCTCAGCCTGCCTCAGCCTCAGCCTGCATCAGCCTCAGCCTCAGCCTCAGCCTGCCTCAGCATCAGCCTGCTTCAGCCTCAGCCTCAGCCTGCCTCAGCCTCAGCCTCAGCTGCTTCAGCCTCAGCCTCAGTCTGCCTTCAGCCTCCTCAGCCTCAGCCTGCCTCAGCCTCAGCCTGCCTCGGCCGCAGCATCAGCCTGCCTCAGCATTCAAAAATGTGGCCCAGGAATGGAGTTCTGGGAACTAGAAGAACACGAAGTGGCCTACAGTTGGCTCCGGGCATTCAAAATGTGGCCCGGGAATGGAGTTCTGGGAAATCGAAGAGCACGAAGTGGCCTACAGTTGGCTCCGGGCATCCAAAATGTGGCCCGGGAATGGAGTTCTGGGAACTCGAAGAGCACGAAGTGGCCTACAGTTGGCTCCGGGCATCCAGAAAGTGGCCCGGGAATGGAGTTCTGGGAACTCGAAGAGCACGAAGTGGCCTACGGTTGGCTCCGGGCACTCAAAATGTAGCCCGGGAATGGAGTTCTGGGAGGTCGAAGAGCACGAAGTGTGTGACCATGTTGACGAAAAGCAAACCCGGCTCTGTT